ATATCTGTTGTCAGAGACAGAATGGACAGCAGACCTATGGAAGAAAGGTGCAGCGGAAACCCCCTGGTGTGGTTTCCATACATAAGGGACTAATTAAGTTTCTTTTCCAGGTTGTAACAAAAACGAAGAGAGGGCTTTATGTAAAAGGTTTTGATGCTGTAAACAAGTGAAAGCAGACACATTTTAGCGTCATCGCCGCATCCGCGGCCTTTGCATGAATAATGGCTGTAATGAATCAATTACTTTAATATTTAATTAAGAATTTCTTATTAAGTTTTCAAAATAAATATTTTAAAAGACAACCTGCTTTTCTTTCACCCAACAGGGCTTTCTGATGTTAGCTTTATTAAAATGGTGGCAGTGGTTCAGATGAGAAAAATCCATGCAGAAATTACAAACCGTCAGGCTCTGAAAATTCTCCTCAAGATTGTGGGACAGTCATTTTCCAGATATCATCAGTGTTTTGCAGATATTACAGACCGTCAGATTCTGAAATGCAGCACGAAAAGTGACGAACATCAGTTCGAGGTCTCCGAAGCGGTTCAGATGAGAAAATCCACGCAGAGATTACAGACCATCAGGTTCTGAATTTCCACGAAGTTATGAACATCAGTTTGAAAAAGAGAATACAGCTCTTCGTTAAGCTGTGTGGATCGGAAATCCATGAAAAAGTTTACGGACGCCAGTCGAGATAAAGAGGAACGACAGTCTCCTGAATACAGTTTATCGTTAAGCTGTGTGAATCGGCAATCCACAGAAAAGTTTACGGATGCCAGTCCAGATAAGGAGGAACGACAGTTTCTTGAATACAGTTCATCGTTAAGCTGTATGGATAGGAAACCTACGGAAAAGTTTATGGATGACAGTCTCCTGGATCCAACTCAAGCTGTGGAACATTCATTGTCCGAAAATCATCAAATCATTGTGAATGTGTACTGTAGTGAAAAAGTGATACGTGTGTGATCATCATTGTGCCTGAGAAAATTAGTGCAGTGCAACGTACGATGTTCAGTGCAGTGTATTCTTGCTGAAGATCATCAGATTATTGTGAAGGTGTAAAGTAGTGAAAAGTGTCGGAATCATTAGCATCTATATATTAGTGAGGCAGGTAAGTACCTTGGCTTTTTATATTGAGGCAGTAAAGTAATTTAATTTATTATTGTAATTTAGTATACAAGTTCACATATCTGGTTAAAGTCAACTTTGTTTTCTGTAAAGCCTAAAGAAATGTGCTGTTTGGGTTTTATGTTACAAGAAAGTATAAATTTTAGAATTTAAATCTGTGTTAATAGATTTTTTTAATGTCTGAAAAGTTAATGTGTTGTGCTCAAATTAAGCTTATATAATTGAATGTGTAAAGGAGAAGAATTACTGTAACTTTGAAGGTTCTAAGGTTAGGTGGCATTCTGACATTTATTTCTAAAACGCTTTGAATATTATAAATATTAGAATTTTCAGTTAAGGTGTGTCAAACATTATTTGTGTAAGAACCGAGAGAAAAAAATGTTTTTTTCTATTGAATGAGTAAAAGGGGAATGCTAGAAATCTCCAGTATTTTTCATCTTAACAGTTGTCATATTAATGTTTAGTTATGAGCATGTAGATATATAACCCTTGAATGCATATTTTAATATACCTCACATTTTGATGAAAGTATATTGTATTATCATAAACAAGAGTGTTTTACACAACTGAATTTAAAGCATTTGAGGGTAATATTATTTATAGTATCATTAAGTCCTCAAGTAGACAAATTTTTATTTGAACGCATAATGTGCATATTATAGTGTAAACTGTCTTGGTTTTTGTTTAAGATCTGTAAAATATGTTGTGAAAAAAAATTAAGGGTTCAATTTTACTCTCTCTTTATGAAATGATATTTGTTTAAATCAATTTTATATATATATATAGTGTGAGAGAGCTAAAATTGTTAGGTTGTTATCATAATTTTGTTTTATATCATGGCATTCTTAGTAAAAGTTAGGAAAGAGGATCTTAAATCCTTGGCTGAAGAGTTAGGGGAAGAAGTTAGGCCTGAACTTAGGATACTGGAATTAAGACAGCTGATTATGGGAAATGAATCCTATGAGAAGGAACTAGTGAAATGCCCGTTAGAAAATATCACTTCAACGAGGCTTGAGAGAGAAAAGGAGCAGGAAAGAATTAGGAAGGAAGAAGAGAGGCAAGAAAGAATTAGGAGAGAAGATGCAGAGAGGCAAGAAAGAATTAGGAGAGAAGATGCAGAGAGGCAGGATAGAATCAGGAGCAAAGATGCAGAAAGGCAGGACAGAATTGCAGAGAGGCAAGATAGAATTAGGAGAGAAGAAATGGGATTTGAATTCTCGAAGTTAAGATTACTAGCCGCTAATGCGAATGACTCTGTAAATGGTGGGAATGAAGAAAATGGAATTAAGGAAAGCCGTTACAATCTAAAAAAAAAAAAAAATTATGCCAAAATTTGATCCTGAAGTGAACAGATTCAATCTCCCAGTTTTGAGAGACCGGGTCATGCATTGGCATAATATGCAACATCCACTCCTTCGATGTTGACGGGTGAGACGATCTGGGTCGAACAACCATTTGATGAGGCCCCAATTTGTTTACCCTTAGCAAACGTTGTAAAAGAAGGAACATTTGGATGAATAATGACAAAGGCAGCGTTCATTCACAATGAGTTGAATGAAGGCTGTTATGTCTTAGGAAATTGCACCGCCGAAAAATTAGCGGCAGATCAAAATGATAAACTTTTCTTTCAAGTAAATGCGGTGGAGACTCGAGCTCCAAGTCAATCAAGAAATGAAATCGGGAAAGGTTGTCCCCTAGAGTCTGAACGCAGCGAACTCGAACTCTCAAGGGAAGTTCCCCCCCCCATTCTAGAAAAGGGTGAAGTCTTGTCTCAAACAAAACAGATAGTGAAAACCAATTTCTCTCTGTCTGAAACGAAGATGAATGAACTGTCACTGCCTACAATAAAATATTCTTTTGTAGCACACCTACAAAATAAAAGTGACGTTGTAAAACCATCTTTTGACTTTGTCGCATTAGATGATCACAGTAACTCTTTGGGAAATGTGTACAAGTTAAGAATTTCCTTTTCAGTTCAGCACGAACAAGAAACTGTAGATATGCCAAATGATGTTTCGTACCAACCAGACTCGAAAGGTTTGCAAACACCTAAAAATTCCGTAGGAGAATTGCCCAAGACACTGAGTAGTGTAAATTTACCAAGGAAAGTAGGAGCATCCCCAGTTCATCATTTATTTATACTAGTCCCTGATACTGAAGGGTCAAATGGGATTAAATATAGCTACTTCTTGAATGATGTAAATCCAACTTGTAATGAAGTAGTTTTTTCTGATGTTAAAGCCAAATTAAATGTACATGTTTATTTGAGGTCAAATGCAGTAGTTCTCATTCAGGTGTTGGGTTACCATTGAGAGATTTTCACAAACTGAGAATTAAAAATCTGCAAGGTTTCCCTTTTCAGCCTGGCTAAAAATATAACTAACATTAAAGTTGGAATGTATATTGTATATTACATATTTCAGAAACTATACTTTCTTTTATAGTTGTGTATAAATAAGCTTTAGTTTTAGTATTATGTTGTTTACATGTTTTTATTGGCCTCAATATAGTTCTTGTTATGTTTATCCTTGGTACTTAGCAAAGCATTGTGAAAAAAAATATTAGTGCAAATAGTTATTAGTTAGTTTTATTATTAAGACTTGCTGTGGTAAGGTGCGAGGAATTGGAATTCTGAAACACCCCCCGGGAAGGGTAGGAATTGTGACGTTCAGACATATGCACCCCTCGGACTTCCAGGTGCTTAATGAGAGATATCTGTTGTCAGAGACAAAATGGACAGCAGACCTTTGGAAGAAAGGTACAGTGGAAACAACCATGGTGTGGCTTCCCGACATAAGGGATTAATTAAATTTCTTTTCCAGGTAGTAATAAAAACGAAGAGAGGGCTTTGTGTAAAAGCTTTTGATGCTGTAAACAAGTGAAAGCAGACACATTTTAGCGTCACCTTTGCACGAATAATGGCTGTAATGAATCAATTATTTTAATATTTAATCAAGAATTTCTTATTAAGTTTTCAAAATAAATATTTTAAAAGACAACCTGTCTTTTCTTTCACCTAACACTGGTGTTCTGACGTTACACCTTCCTTTCAAATAAAGAATGCATCCTAAAGTGGCAAAACTACAATATATCCTCCTGTATTATATTTAATCTCGGGGAAAAAAATAAGAAACACATAAGTCAACAAGTTGAATTTTCCCTTGACAAGAAAGAACAAGTGATTTGATATTACAATTGGATTTCTAATTAACTAGAGATCTACTTTCTCCAGTACAATGAATTGGCATTTTACAAGTTTTCAATTAAATAACAGCCTTGTGTATGTGTTCAGATTATTCTGTAATGCTTATCTGCACATAAAGCATTATTATGAATACTATAAACATCTGCATTTTGCAGTCAATTTTAATACATTTAGTTAACATCACCATGTGTTGCTAAACAAGATTTTGCAAGTTCTTCTGTAGACAACATGTAGAAAATTATCTAACAAATTAAAAGATGAAGGAATGAAAATGTGAAGTACTGAGCTTAACTAACAGGTGTGGTGGAAACACACAAGGGCTCCTGATAAGATTATTCATACTTGTCACACAGCAGACACAGACTGGAAAACTTGTATTCCACATTGGGAAGTGCTCTGAAAAATACCACATTTTTCAGGATTTAAAAAAATTGTTGAGGTTAGAAATGATGCAAAACATTATTTAACGATACCTGCTGTAATATATATAAAATAAAATTACTGTCCTTACTCTGGCTAACCCAAAAACATACATTTTTTGCTCACAAAGGGCTAAAACATAATAAAAATATGCTGCACTTAAAACTGAGAAGGGGAGGGGGGAATTAGCAAACTAATTATATGTATCTCAGATTTCAATTTATAATGATACAATGGGATAGCAAAGAACAACAGTATAAAGTTTACTTTTTATTTGTACTGTGCACATGAGTAATACAATAAATTTAGTATTTTGAAAAGCATGATAAATTTTACAGAGCAAGATATAAAATTCTGAATTATAGCTGTAATCAATATCAAATTAATTGTGCACAAGTATGTGAATGGCAGTTTTGGTTAAAGAAATTTGACAGATTTATTTCGAGTTATGAAAAATACTTGCTTTTCATGTTAAGTTCTAATTGCCATTCAAAATTATTTCAGAAAGAGCATGGATTTAGGAATATTGCCAAAACAAAAATATTGATGTAAATACATCAAGTTTTAAAACACTGATGATGCCATCTTCAAACTTCAAAACCAATATAAATTTTCTTGATGCTAAATGATATAAACACAACTGCAGCACTTCTTTATTATGAAATATAAAACACAGTTCCTTTGTGGTCCTTTTATACAAATGGAATTTCACGCTCGTTTTAAATTCTTTCGAGCATCAGTCATGAGGCACTGATCTTTGAGTGAACCATTACACCCTCTGGGTGCAAAGGCAAATGTTCACACATTCTCCACTTTAAAAAAGAACTATTTTAAAACTCGACTAATTTTTTTTCCTTTCACAACCACAGGCCTATTTTTTATAACTCCTCTCCTTCGCATAGAAGTCTGCAAAGAAACACATTTGTATACATTAGATAAATGACTGACATATTTGTATGCATTTAAAATAAAATAAAAACTAAACTATAATTGAAAAAAATTCAACATAATCTTACAAACTATTATAAAATTACTAACAGAGGAAATAATTAGGTTTCATAGCTTTGATTCAGCAAACACTTTCACTTGCATTTTTGAATACTGAACAACATACTTTTCAAAGCAGAAAAATGCAAGAATATAACTAACATACAAATACACACTTAAAATACAAAAAATAAAATATAACTGAAGATACAGAACATTTACATATTTACACGGAAACTATTACAAAATTACTAACACAAATAAGATACGTAGTACATTTAGTGAATAATACCTTCATTTGCCCTTTTGGATAATTAATACATGGTCTATAAAAACACGAAATACAATGAAAATCATTTCACAGAAAACTGAAGAGACTGAAATATTTTTTTCATGTTAAAGGATTTTACAAAAACAAAGTTTATTAGAGCACATTTTATTTACATAGATGTATTCTATAAATATCAATGAAACAAAAACATCCACAAGAATGTAATGAAATTTAATACAAAATTTTCAAGTTTTTTGTATAAGAAAACATTTATTGAGTTTTTGGATATATTCTGATATTTTTCTCGGCATTGTCATATTTAGCATCAAACTGTCAACAAATTGTTTGATGTCATCCCTTTTGTTATTCACCATTGGAATGTGCATCTAAATAATGGCACATACTTTTCATGATGTTCCTCATTTCAGATGACACAGGAACTACATTATTCACTTCATTTTCGTCATCAGAATCTGCATCAATGATATTTTTTTAGCTTTGAACAAACTCCAAAATGTCTGTCTGCCATAGTTGGGACTGTACACACATTATCATCATCTACTGCAACAAATTCTTCCGATGATACAGTAGGACAGTCCAATAATGCACAAACTTTCTCAAACACTTCATTAAGTGTCGGCTCAGTTTCAATATCTCCTTCTCTACTTCTTTTGGCACCGAAGAATCTGCTAGTTTTGATTATTCTATATGATGAAAGCAATTTTCAATCATCCTTGGAGTCACTGAATTCCATGCAGAGTGGAACATATCAAAAGCATCCAATAAACTGATCGAGAAATCTTAATTTGCTTAGATAGCGAGTAAATATTTTCGAAGCATTTGCTTCTCATAGAAAAATTTCATGTTTCGTATAATCCCTTGATCCCAAGGCTGAAAGACACTTGTATTATAAAGTTTTATAGCTTTCAGTACAACGTTGGGGTGAGCCGGACAATTATCAATTATCATTACAACCTTATGCTTTTTCTTGTAAGAATTACTCATCTAACTTTATGATTCAATCAGTGGACATCGTAGCTACCCCTCCATGCTTTTTTGTTTGTTGTATATTCGACTGGTAATGTTCTTACATACTTAAAATACCATGGTTTCAGACTTTTGCCAGTAACAAATAGTAGCAGTTTTTTAGAACCATCCAAATTGCATCCTACCAATACTGTAATCCGTTCTTCAGACAGTGTCTCTCCTGAACACGATTTTCCCTTAAAAGATAAAATTTTACTGTGTAAGCAGCGGTAAAATAACCTATGTTGGAGACATCTTTTGCTTCATATTCATTCAGTACCAAAGCCAACATAGACTGAAGCCAATTTGCTGTCATGGTCGGCAAAACTTGATTGGCTTCACCATAAACATCTTATTTCTTTTCTTTTAAACATCCCAACCATCCTAGATTTGCAGAAAATGTAATACCCATCTGTTTAGAAATTTCATTGTTTCTTCCTAGCATTCTGAAGGTATTTCACAGTCAAGTTAGCCTCCTTTCTATGAATCTTGTAAAACTACCACTCTGTCATTTTACACCCCTTTTAAATCTTGCCTGCGCAGCTGGTGTTTTTCATATTTTGTTCATTCCCCAGAAGGGAAATCTTCGTGTTAAGAGAAAAACAAATGCTTAAAAATATATAGTAGTTTGTAGGAGCTACTGTATTATTTCATGTTAAACATATTTCAATGTAAAACCTTTTCTAAAACAGTCAAATACCATAACACAATTAAAAAAATGCACATAACAGACTGCAAGCATTTATAAACCATTTATTTTTATTATAGTGAATGATGTGCTAATTCGGTCTGCATGTGATTTAGTTCAGTTAAGGATCAAAAGAAAATGAGAAAGGGCAAAGAAATAGGAAGGAATTCAAATGTATTGAAATGGTAAAAAAAGAAATTTATGTAAGCCCATCATAGGAAAAGATATATAGGAACAAAAAGGGTAGTATTACATGCACATCAACACATACATAATTGGTCAATTTTTCTGTTCTCTAATACTGAGATACAAGACAAATATTGGAAAATTAATTTTGAAATATCAGTCTCGATAAAATGCACCATTTAGAAAAATTTTACATTTTCAGTTTCACATTATTTAGTTTCGTTGGAAAAACATCTACCTTTTCGTACTCTTCTATAAATTTGAATTTTTGCTTCAATAACTTTTCAGGTCTTGTAATACCACTATAATAGTTATTCATGTAAACACAGTGCAGTAACTTTTTGTTTTTATTTAATATAAGTGAAATAATCTTTGGTAAATTATTACCTTATACATAACAGTTGAAAGTTGTGCATATATACAGCTTTGCCTCAAATACCACTCTGATGAACATTCTGTACTGATATTTCTATTCAGATTACAAATCTCCAAGCACATATATACAGCTTTGCCTCAAATACCACTCTGACAAACATTCTGTACTAGTATTTCTATTTGGATTACAAATCAGCAAAAGCCAATCTCCTTGACAAGTTGTCTTCATTCAAAGAAAGTTCTTGTTCTACTTATATGCAGTTGATAAAATTATCATTATGTGCACAATTTTAAGATCTCTTCAAGGCATTTCTGCATCACTGAAGAAATGGAAGGACTGCACAACTTGCAGGAATCTATTTCATTCTGTAAGGAAAGGCATTAAGAATTGATGGACATATTGAATTATAATCATGTTTTGTTGCTTCTTGCACTTGTCCCATAAAATATTTATTGCGAAATATGTTCTCATTTCAAACACAGCAACACATTTATGTTTTCATTGAACATTTTTATCTACAAAGCATTTCACAGTAACTGTTAGTATCATTTCTATAAAATCACCTACAGTGCATAATCCGACAATTTCACACATAGGTGGAGCATCATTTTAAAATACCATTACACATGTTTCAACCTGCAGTAAACATTCAGTAATCAAAGCACTAAAAACATCTTTATAATTTAAAAAACAAGCACAGAATACATAGTTTTTTAATGAGATAATTTATGGTTATTAAAAATCCCTCATATAAAAAACTGAAGAATTCAAAGCATTAAATTAATACATGCATTAAATTAAATTTCCACTTTATCACTCAAGGAGAAATAGCAGAAAATCTACTAATGCATTTTTGAAAGAAATATTTAAAACATTTAAACACATATAATAATAAATGTGAAATGAAAATACACAACTCGCACAACTTTGTAAAGAATAATAATCTATTTTAATTCTAGGTAGGAATATATAGTCAAATCCCACTACAGCAAACTCCGTTTATAATGAGCAAACATTTATGTTTTTCTTGAATGCTTAATGTTATTTTATACAATTCTAGCAAACCTCTAACTGCAAGAAAATAGGTATAACAAACTTTATTCTCAACTGAACCTTTTTTATTCATATTTTTTGCAAGGTTTCACTAAAAAATTACAAACATTAAAAATCAAAAATATTTAGGCAATTAGGATAGTGGAAAACACTTTTATATTATTGTTACTTTATTTTCACCTTATACTTTTCTTTGTTTTAAATAACGGTGATAAGAAGCAAATGGCATACCCAATTCTCAGAACAGGGTTGCCACTCAAATAGGAGAATGAAATTCCACAACTTTTCCAGGTGCGTTTCAAAGTAATTCCAGGCTATGTGCATAGTGCACATTGGCTGTGCTGAGAGTAAATTAATTATGGTACCACTTTGAAAACACAAAAATTTGCGAATTATATATGACTATATATATATATAAGATAAATAGGAAATTCTTCATGCTATTGCTTAAAAGCAAATGCGATACTGTGGCTCCCGTGTAAAATTTTCAACACTATGTAAAAATAAATTGTATAAATTGTATGTAAAAGTTAAAATACAAGAAGTATGAAATACTTAACAAGAAAACAGACAAATAAAAAGGGAATGTAAAACTCAAATCGAATTTAAAAATTAAAAAATGTTGATGAAAGTTTAAACGATCCTAAAACATTTTAAAATAAACATAAAAATAAACATAAAAATTGTTTAAAACACACGCAAAATTACAAAGAAGAGGTAAATGGTAAATTTAGCCTAATTCGACATATCAAGGGATGCACAAGGAACTTCGCATCCTGCTAATTCCATATTGCGCTTCGTCAAAACATGAAAAATTGAGACTGCACACGAAAAAACTTTTTGAGTATTAAACAGACAAAAATACCTAATATAACTTAAGTCTCAATTTTTCTGTTTCATTTGCTGACGTGTCCGTTGGTTAAAAGTAAATGAGAAACACATTAATGCTGCAAGAAAAATTATACAAACTGGCATGGTAAGGCAAATGTACAGAATAAAATAAATAGCGATTTGCTATTAATCAACATATACATAATTTTAATTTTAAGGGAGTACCTACTTAGCTTGAAGAGTTAAAACTGCGTAAAAGAAGGAATAAAAACTTTTTTAATTTAAACAATAAAGCGCATCAAATTGGGTCTTGCTATGATCAAAATTAAAATGGAAAGAAAAAATCTTAAACATACCAGCACTTTAACTTTTTGTAATAAATTCTGTGAAAAGCTACGAGATAAAAATTGCCATTTGCCTCCAGAAAAGATAAGAATTCAACTCACCCATTAGGTGGGGGCGATGCTAAAGGGCAAATAAACGTCACA